AAATATACTTTAGTCAATATTTGTGACTCCCATTTAACATTGATTAACTCAATTTCTTCCATCTGTTTGAATTGCAGCACAAACGAAGCACAAACCCCAAAGCCTCAATAAAGTCAAAACAATGAGGAAGTCCTCCCTTTGAATAACTTGGTTGGTCCTTGATGGTTTTTTCAACAAAAAGAATATGGACTTATTATTTAGTATATTAATTTAGAGGATTCATTTCCTACAAATATTGACTAAAGTATGATATATAAATTAAATGACTGGATGAAATTATTTACTATATTTAAAATGATAAGTATTTTTATTCATGGAGGAAACATTTTCTAAAATCTCGATAAAGAATTGTCATATGTTTTTTTAATTATAATTAAAATATTAATAAAATTAATATAATTGTTCAATGGACACGTATCAATTACATAAGTTCTGCTAATCCTACTTTTTAATATGTTTACATATGACTTTTCTTAAGATTTATATTCAATTTCAAAAGTTAAATATTTTCTTTTAAATTTAAACTCCTACACCATAACTTAGAATTCAAAACAATACTATTTATCAATAAAATAATAATTTGATAAAAAAATCGGCACATAGTACAAGAAATGACAAAATTTAAAAGGAAAAGATACCTTGGTTGGTTTTTTCCTAATTAAATTTTAAAAATACTATATATTTTTCCCATTTTTTGGCTTTTTATTCTTTAATATTAAAAAAAGTAAAAAGAAAATAAGAAAAAAGCCCACTCAAGAAAATGGGGGCCCAACAGAGGCCCAAATCCACAACCCAATTTCACTTACCTATCTTTCCTGGACCCTAAACGCTTATACATCAAATTTACCGTCTATAAACATCAGCCGCTCTATATATAAATTCCCCAAATCTTAACCCTAATTAGGGTTTAAGTTCTCTCTCTTGCAGTGGCCTTTATCAGGACCGAAACGAAAAGGCTTCAGCTTCCAAATCGGAAAAAATGGTGAAGGGACGCCAAGGAGAGCGAGTCAGGTCCCCCTTTGATCTCTTCATTTCCACTTTCAAAAC